CTGACCCATTTTCTACCTTTTAAAAAATGGTATATGAAATGTGTTATTTTTCTCCTTGGTTTTTATTTTTCCTCTGTGATGTCTGTAAATTATGCAAGAGAAAAAATTTTAATCTGTAGTTACATTTCCTGATTGTCATAGTTTCTGTAGAATTTATTTCTCAAATGTAAGAGCAAGATTCTTTTCTGCCTTCAGTGGGCATTTAAATCGTCACCAGAAAGGATGAAAGATTCTATGTGCTTTGTTGGCTTATAGGATGTTGCTTTTCTATCTTTAATTTAGTGATCTGTCTTTAATTGAGCGATAAGACCTCAGAAGACTTGAGAGTAAAGTAGACATCATTATTGTTTCTCCTAGTGAGTTTTCATTAATTTCCTCGGATTCACAAAGAAGCAAACATTTATGCTGATTTTGCCACATATTAGACCTTGTAAAACTTGCTGGCGGTACAGAGGTGAATAAGATACCATTTCAGTCTCTGGTAGTTTTTATAGTCTAAGGTGATAAGTAGACATAGTATTGCAGAAGAGGTAACTTGTAGAGAAGAGAGCTGTGTGGAGAACAGTGGAAATAGGACTTGTATCCTCTAGGCAAGTTTTCATAAAGAAGGGCATTTTTGAGCTGGGGTGAAGGAATCCGCTGAGGCTCTCCTGGAGACCTCCGGGTGGGGAGCATGGCATTGCAGGCAGAGGTTGGCATGGAAGAAGGGTTGGCATGGTGGGGTTTAGAGTATGGCAGATAATCCATTATGGTCAGATTCGGGGGTGGGGTGTGGAGGGTGTGGGGTGACAGGTAACAAGGTGAAAGACAAAGGTGCTGCAGAGACTTGGCGTGTAGGTGGGCCCCAGCTTACACATGATCTGTGCATAGATCTTCCTCTCGTCCTGATTAACCTCCTGTAACAACAAGCCTTGTTGCAGATGCCAGAATGCTTCAGTGGAGGAAAATAAAAACCACAAAGCTTTATACTTTTGAATAACTAGATTCAGAAGCTGAGTTAAAAAAAAAAAAAAAGCACAGAACAAGAAGTGTCACAAGCTGCAGTCCATTAAGTAAGTCAGTTCAGGTTTAGACTCTTAAGATTAGGCGTTTAGAATCCCAGAAGGAAGGTAGAAAGATACCAAAGACAGATTCTGCCTTTTTCAAAATTTTATTTGAGTTTAACATTATATCCAAAGAAAAGGAAGGAAATTCTTTTCATTCCTGTATTCAATGGCTTCCTGCTTCCAGAATTTTAGGACCTAGGCTTGCACTGTCAGTACTGTGGCTCACTTAACATTATTATGGTTATAGGTGGCATGGGGAGCTAGTCTGGGAACTTGGCTGCCCTTTTACTTTTGTGTTTCTAAACATTGGATCCCAGAGTTAATGAACTGTCTCTTTGTTAGTTGAGTGTAGCTTTTGGTATATATATTTCAACTCCCCTTCCCCAGTCCATTTGATGGAGTCACAGACTTTCAGAACTGGAAAGTATCTGAAAGAGATCATTTAGTCCAACCTTCTCATTTTACAGGTGGGGAATCTGAGGCCTAGAGAAGTTAAGTGAGTTGAACAAGGTCACATGGGTACATATGGTAGCAGACCACCCACCGTCGATGCCAGTCTTCCTTTCTGGTTTTGTTGTCATTTGTTTTAACCTCCCCAAATTTTACTTCAGAAGTTTCTAGAACTACCAGGTTGTAGCATGTTTTGATATCTGATGTCACTTTTTATTCTCACCTTCTCTCTACCCTTATTTGTATTTCTGGCTCTGGGTAAGTGAGTCTGGCAAGCAGCAGCTGTTTCTCTTTTCTTTCTTTTATTTTTGGGATGTTAATTCTATGTGATGTATGTCTTTGCAAATATATACACTAAAAGGACTTAAAATATTGCCACTAGATGTACATGTATTTAATGGTATATTAAACTTTTTATGGCAATTGTGATGTGCGGATGAAGAACAGTTCTTAATATGGACTTCTTAATAATTGAATCTGTTTATATCTCTATATTATCAAGCGTTCAATAAATTATTTTAAGAAAGGGCAAAATTAGCTTCATATCGTTAATCAAATTTGGGTATGATGATGCTAAGTGAATTTGTTTTGGGCAGATGTGTGGATTTCATGTTTCTATGTTCCTCTGTATACCTGTAGGCTGGTGAGGGTAAGAGGAGGAGGGAGGATGACGGGGATAGAGGCATAATACACTTCTTGCCTTTGAGGACCTTAACTGTTCACTGGATACTTGTTTTTAAAAGGTTTACTCTGTTTCATCGTGTATTCTATTTGACACACAGCTCTCTATCATTTGGTGATGAACCTTTACCTGTTGTTAATTTTTATCTGTTAAGGTTTCTTTTGTAAGCTAGTGATAGTGATGTTGAAGAGAGTTAGAGACCTGTATACTTCGCTAATGCTTTGGCAAGTCTCACTTGTCTGGAAGCTTTTCCTGTTAGTCTTATCTCTTCCTTCACTTTCTGTCAACCCCTTCATTAGAAACTCTTTCAATGCTTCTTCATCTCTGTTGTCTCATATAAGCCAATATAAGGTGAGGATTTTAAAAAATGATATCTTTTAAGTTGAATTTTAATTTTAAGGAAGTGTAAATAGTCAGATTTACCTACTACTTGTCTCAGTCAAATCCCATTTTCCATTTCTGTATCTTCAGTTGTGGTTTGTTGAGGGACTTATCAACTAACATACCACACAAAAGTTATAAGGAATTGGGTGTGCACACATGCAAGTGTGTGTGCGCGTATGCACGGGTATTGGAGAAGGTCTTAATTAAAGAAGAGAGTCATCATTCTTATTCTAGCAACCCCTCCTCCAGATCACTTCATCACTACAGGCCCTGGTGTATGTTCTCACATACTCTTCATCCACTGCATCGATACCTGTAGAGATTTTCATAATCTTTTCATGTTTTCATGGTCGTTTTTTGTTGGTTCTGTCTTTTATGCCAAATACTGCTCTAATAGGAAGGCTGATTTTGAGTAGAATTTGTTATTGCTTTTGTTTTTGAAGCTGTTCTCTATTTTGTATTGTAAGTGGAAGAAGTATGGAGCTGTGTTGGAAAAAGTTTGACTTTTGTAACCAGAGGTCCTGGGCTTGAGTCCTGGCTCTTCTAAATCTTAGCTTTCTCATATATAAGATGGAGATTGTATTTTCTATTATTATATGGGTGTGACTATGAATTAAAAAGCATGGAAACTCCTTTGTAAGGTTGTGTACATGTGGTAGACATGGTAGTCTTAAGCAGTACTTGTCAAACCAAATGTGTGAGCTCCTGAAAAAGCAGGAGAATTTTAGAGGACTAAAGCTGCGTGAAACTCAAAATGTTGATTTTTCTGTTATGCTGCCATGAGACCAACTTCTTAGAACTTTGTTTCCTAGCCTGCTCCTTGTCCCTCACCTTTTAAGTCCTATCTTTACATGAGTTTTTATAAAATATTCTGTTACGGATTCTTCACTATTTACCAGACCTCTTCTTTAATCTGTACTGAAGATAGTGTAAAATGTGACTATTATCTTGGTCAGTCTTCCTCTTACCTGTCATGTTTTGCATAGGAGTGAGTATGAAATTATTTAGCAAGGGTACATAAATATGCATATGGCATTACTAAATGATTTTTTTTTTGAGCAAAACTCAATATATTATATGCGAAAAAGGGGGAAAGTTGATTTATTTCAGGTCTGACCATTTAGAAAATAGTGGATTCTGATTTGCTTATAATTAGTTCAACTTTCATGTGTATTAGGATTTAAAACCATTTAAAGTAGAGGAACCATACAGATATCTTTAGGATTTCTTAAATGTGAAATACATGTCCACAATCACATATTGAAACTCTTAGGGCCAGTTGTGTCTCAGCATTCAGAATTTTTCCCTTTGCAGAAAGATAACATGGAAGCATATACTTATAAATATTACATAACACTCCTCTGGGGTCTGGAGCAGTCCCTACCATGAAGTGTTTGACTCTTTACTTTTAAGTGTATTAGTTAAAGAGTGCACACTGTGTCATAAACTCAGATCGGATGCTGCCACAATTGAGCCTGTCATAAGTTTAACAGAAAATGTTAGATGTTTCAGACTTTTGGGATTTCAGAATTGGAGAGGAAGGGATTGTACAATGACCTTGACTTGTTTTAAAACGCTAAGTTTTTATTTTAAATAATTTTAAAAAATCTCATTTGGTTAGTAGCTGTAGTTACCATAATTTTGCTGACCACAAATTAAAGTGTGGGATCCCTTTCAGAGCCTTATTAATGTTTGTTAATACACTTATTAACCATGAGTAAACCAGTGCATGATGACAGACATGTCACTACTATTAAAGAGACAAATTTTAGTATGCTCTAAGTAATTTAGAGTTAACATTTTACTACTCTGTATTTATTTTACTTCTTACTCCTTCATTACTCTGAGACTAATTAAAACTCGTAACCTGAAAGATTTTTGACAAAGATGACCTTTGTTAGAAAAGTCTGGCTTGAAAATTTTTTAGTAACTGTTGTTTTTGAGTAGATTAGTGTCATTCACTTTTTTAAAAAATCTTTTTCTTTGCCCTTATAATTTTACGATTTTAAAAATTTATCTTTTTAAATAGTAGTTCGAAAAAACGAATGTATGTTCAACTCTGGGGTAAAGACAGTACTGTAACTCATTAGGTGTTTGTACATACTTGGTGAAGTCAAACATACACTCCCTCAGCATGCAGGAAGTTTCCGGGTACACGTGCAGCTGGGTGGGGGGTGTGTGCCTGAGCAGCATCACAGGTTTTGTGAGCAAGTAATGGAAGCCATAAGTGCATAACACCTAACATCAGTTTTCTTAATAGTAAAATGGGGATAATGACACTACCTACTTCATAGGATTATTAGGATTGAAAGAAGTAGTTAATACAAAACAGCATGATGCCTGGTACAGTATAAAAGTTCAGGAAATGTGTGTTACTATACTTTGTTTTTTGCCAGTGCAAAAGATAACTTTAGATCACATTTAAACTTTTCTTTTAGGTGTGCTGAAAGACATTATGATACCGCCAAATTTAACTGCAGAGGTAGGTATTAACTGCCGTGAAATGTATTTCTGTTATATAACTTAAAACCAATAGCCCACATCTTATTGTCATAGCAGTAGTGAATAAGCTCAATTATTAAGTGATGTAAATATTTATCTTAAAGATGGTCTTAGACAATTCGGAAAAATTTAATTTTGCTTTTGTGTTTTAGGGAACTGTTACCATATAAACCTGCCAGTACTAGTAGTAATACTAAAATGCAGGGTTGACTGTAAGAATTAGGAAAAGTTTCTAGACTAACCATAAAATAAAGAGAGGAAGAGAGGGTTATATCTACTGTTGGAGGCATTTGGTCTAATAGTAAGGGATTATAGGAAGAGCAAAGCAGAGCAACTGAGTAACTCCGTGGAGCCGTGACCTAAAAGGGGCAAAAGCTTATGACACATGTGGATAAGAGGAGCCTGACAGGTGGGAGCAGGAGCTGCATTAAATGAGTTCTTCTCCAGGCATAGTGAATTTTTCTGAGGTCTCCCAAAAACCTTCCCTCTTTGTTTGTGGAACCCCTTGAGCCATGAGAGACCTGGAGAGTGAAGAAGCTTGGTAGATGCTACCATGATAGAAAGAGAGGGTGGAGTCCATGCGCTCCATGTTGATGTGTTTGCCTTGGATCCTTTCTGACAATCTAGATCGGATGTTCAAACAGCTGGTTTGAGAATTCAGAAGTGCTAGTGGTGAGAGCCAGTACAGATCCACTAAGAATTTTTCCTTTTTCGTGAATTTAAGCTACTGCTTACTAGGCAAAGCGTGTTTTAGTCAACATTTATCTAGCTTTAAATAGACGTTTAACAGTTTCCTGGCTGTTTTGTGTGCCAGTGGGGAGATGAAGATGGAACGCTGAGGCCTAGGTGAAAGCATCCCAGCGACTCCCTGTAATGGTCATCGTCGTCTTCCAGGACCACTCACCTGACACACTGAATCCCGTTCCACATTAGTGATGACGTGACTGAAGATAGAAGGCATATTACTAACATATTCAGATGACACAGAGGACAATTATGTACATTAGATGTCAGTCAGGATTTGTAAGGGTTTTAGTAGAATGGAACTGCTGAGGCAGGGACCAATAAGAAAAAATTTAATAGTGATATAGTTGAACTCCTGTTTCTGAGCAACTTAAAAAACACATCGACAAAACTCCTCTGACTTTAAGCAAAGAGAAACTTTGGGTTTTTATAACTCAAGTGAAAAGATCTGAAACTTCATTAGATACACTTTACTACAACTGTATACATTTTTATAAGTAGTTTTTTTTCATCTTCTTTTATAAATGCCTTTAAAATCATGTGTAGTATACAACACTAACATTTGCAAGACCATCTTTAAATAACATGCTTAGCATTTTTATTATATGAAATATAAAAATCAGTCCTTTCCATTGTTGATTGATTGGTAATTTATATCTTCTCTGGAATATATGTTTTGTGGTGATGTAATATTATAAATATTACGACTCCTTTTGTCAGAAAACGCATTGAGAGCCCTGACAGGAAACCTGCCTACGTGACATTTCATTTTGAGTTTGCCTCTCCCTCTGACATGTTGACTTCTGCTACCTCTCCATAACAAAGTTTCCTCTTTCATTAAGTGGAGAAAATAATGCTCAGCCTCTCTGTCTAGTGGGTAGGTTTAAGAATTGAGATACTATTTTCTATTCAAATATTGGTAAATTATCAGGCAGCAAATTATTTTTCTCTGGAGTTCAGTTTTTCTTTTAAACATCTATTAAGCTTATATGCAACATTTATAAAGTTAACTTACTTTAATAAACAATTCGGGAAAGACTTTTTTTTTTTTCTAATTCTGAGGTTATCCTTTTACCACAGTTGCACAGTATCCTTTTGAAGACCATAATCCACCACAGCTAGAACTTATCAAACCCTTTTGTGAAGATCTTGACCAATGGCTAAGTGAAGATGACAATCATGTTGCAGCAATTCACTGTAAAGCTGGAAAGGGACGAACTGGTGTAATGATTTGTGCATATTTATTACATCGGGGCAAATTTTTAAAGGCACAAGAGGCCCTAGATTTCTATGGGGAAGTAAGGACCAGAGACAAAAAGGTAAGTTATATTTGATGTATTTTTCTTTCTTCTTCCTTGATCTGAGCATTTGTTAGAAAACAGTTTTTTAAAAAGATGGTTGGTAGCCCTTATTTCTTTATTCTAAACATTTAAATCTGTTACTACCTTAACTGTTGTATGAGCAAATGACTGAATCAATTTTTCGGTTCATGCTGGCATTTTCATATCATGCTAGTAAATCTTATCCATTAACTGTATGGCATATTTGGTCTTATAAAATCCTGGCAGAGCATTTAAAGAAGCAGTACGTTGAACAAAAGTAAGCTTGGTATTTCTGAACCTTGCTTGAGAGTAAGATGTCTTTGGGTAATAACTTGGATGCCATTTCCTACTGAAGTGTGATCTTTTATAAGTACATGAAAATTATTCTTTGATATGAATATTCATGAATATAGTTATAATTAAGATTAGTCAAAGGTTCTAACTTAATCTGTGTAGTATGTTTGAGGGGAGAACATAAACTTGGGAGAACTTTCATAATAATTTCTAAGAGATTCATTTCTTTGGATGGTAAATGTGACAAAATATGTTTATGTTTCTTACAGAGAGATTTTGTACATTTCTCTGTCTCTGAGAAGGAAAAACCCAAACCGCTCCAGATAGAGGGAGAAACTCACCTAGAGAAAGAACTCTCCTGAGGGAGACGTTACAACTTTATGAAGAAATTTATTCTAGTTTTAATAACATTTACAATCAGGAAGGTTCTCTTCCAGTTTAAGTTGCTTGCCTGCCTGCCTGCCTGCCTTCCTTTAATTTTTAGTGTGGGCTTTGAACTCGTGACCCTGAGATCAAGATCTGAACTGAGGTCAGGAGTCCCACGTTTAACTGACTGAGCCATCCAGGCGCCCCTAAGCTGATTTCTTTTTAATTCAACTTCAAAACAGAAACATGATTACTTCTGCTATTTTAGCTGGTGATTATATTGATTCCTGGCTCCTTTTCTCCTTCCTCATTTCTTGTTTTATTTATCTTTGTGATTTTTAAAAATTACTTCTAAAGATGCCAGAGTGTTGTGTATTGGTGATAGTTTATGAAACGGAATCTTATGTTAGTGCTTGATTTTAGTAAATATTCATTATAGTAGATTGCCTTACATTTCTTTATAAGTTGTGTATGTCCTGGGATGATAGTAGTGGAGTGAATTCTCGAGTGGAAGGCCTGAGATGTTTACTTTGGTTCATTTTTTTCATCATCTAGAGGGAAACAGTTGCTGTTACTGATTAAAAATATAAAAGGTAAATTGTTCTACACTTAAGTGAATAAGTCCAGGGCAGCACAGGGGAAAGAGAATGAATGGGAAGAAAATGACAGAGAAACGGTCAAATCAAAGTACAGTAGCTGAAGCAGTGGTAGAAGTTTAGAGCAAGCAGGGTTGATGAACAGTAGACACTGTATGTAGTTGTGGGAAAGAAATCAAAAGAATTTCAAATAAAAGTAGAGAAGCTGTGTATTATGGAGCCAGAACACTAGATTTAAGCTCATGGCTCTTAAAGGATTTATGTGACATATGTTCTAAAAATACGATGAAAGCTATAGTCTCTCACTAAAAATGTACATGATATACATGAACATAAAATTTTGCTTATAGTTTTTAATTACACAGATTTTTTAATGTGGAAAATAAAAGGAGTCTTCATAAGAATTATGTCTCCTTTTAATTTTTATTTATTTATTCATTTTTAAGATTTTTTTTATTTGACAGATCACAAGTAGGCAAAGAGAGAGGGGGAAGCAGGCTTCCCGCTGAGCAGAGAGCCTGATGTGGAGCTCGATCCTAGGACCCTGAGATCATGACCTGAGCCGAAGGCAGAGGCTTAACTTACTGAGCCACCCAGGCGCCCCAGTGTCCCCTTTTTATATGGAAAAAGCAGTGGCTTTTTGAGGTTAATGATGAAATCTAAATGGTTACAGATTAATCAGAATTAAACTTTGGTTCTGCCAATAGGAAGTTTTATGAAAGGGCTGCTAATATTTAGATTATAAATAATACATTAAAATTATGCCATTGTCTTTGACTTGACAACTTCTTTGTCATCTTTGATATCCAATCAATTTTGACTTTGTTTTTGGTGAAAATAAGTGCTTAAAATGCTATCTCACGAAAGAATGAAAGAGCAAATGAAATATGTAGATTATTTTGTCAGATGAAAGTAGGCTTGTATCAAAAAATTAAGAATTCTCTAAGTCTTCAGAAAAATTAATGTTGCATCATTTTCTTTGCCTTGGTTAATGAGATCATTTTTGCCAAGATCCTGGCATAACACTGTGTTAGGAAGGGAAGGATTATGACTTCACATTTTTAGTTTTAAGGTTAAAGAATTAAACTGTGTAAACGAGTTTGTATTTTATCCATTTGACTGCATTTTAAAATCCTGGCTGTAGAATTTTGCCTTCTGAAACCAGTGAACTTATGGGTAGAAAAGCATTTCATAATTGCTCCCATTTCTTGACAAAACCTCTTGAGAAGCCCTTGATTGAATGTCTTGGCTTTCCTGAATTTGGCAATTTTCATAGCAGTAGATTTTTCATGAAACGTCCTCTTGTACAGCTGTGATTCGAGGCTTGGCACTGCTAGAGCAGGCTGCTTCCCCATCAATGGCTAGAATTTCTCCCAGGGTGGAGCTAGTCTTTTACCCCGTGCACAGTGATGAACACAGCAGTGAGTGTCACAGTGATGTGGAGAGCGCTGTCTTTACCCAAGCAACAAAGCCAGATGTTTTGCCAGGTGTTAAGGTGTACTATCTGCCTAGATAATGCTGAGATTTCTTGAGGGGAAGGTTTTTTGGGGGCATTTTGAAAATGTTAATGTTCCCCCAAAGTTTCCAAAGAGGACTCCAAAATAAGTATTATTCTTTGATTGTGTTACCATGTGTGTACTTAATGAAAACCAGTAGCTGGCTAACCGGGTAGCTGGCTAACCCGAGAAGTCATTATCATATACTGAAGGGAAGTGGTATTTCCAGTCCTCTTATGACCTGCTTCATAGTCTTAGAAAAAGAGGTCAGTTTTTCTGGGAGTGGACAGATTTGTTTGCTAGAGATACTGCAACAGTTTTAACTTTTCTTTTGCAAGCTACAAACACGTTTGACCATCTCTGAAGTATTTGTCTTCACCACATTGAACTGCAACTTTTTTGTTTGTTTGGCATTACAACCAGTAGACTTGTAGAGTGCTTTGTTCAGGATTTTGAGTTGGAGGGTAATTAAAGGTTCTTGTAGTAGTCTAACCTTTTCTAACCAAGCTGTGCTCTTACATGTGCTCTCTTTCCCCCTCTTCTGCACACTCACCCACACACATACCTACCCTGTGTGAAAGTTGGCTAAATGCTTATGATCGTGAGAACCAGCCATGTAAGAAGCACTTGGGATAGTCTTTCACATCATATTCAGGGATACAAGTAAAACCCAAGGATGCTTAAACAGTTTAAGTTAGATCCAGGAGAAGTCTTCATAATGAAAAAGTGAAGACATGTTTTAATTTATCATTGGGAAAATACTGTATTCCTTACAATCTGAAAATATTGTCAGTTCTCTTGCTCTGTAAAGATGAAGAGAGACTTAGTAAACTGGCAAGGCCCAAGGGATAGTGTTGTGAAATAGGGGTCTGAGTGAAAAGATAGCAAGAGAAGTGTTTGTGAAAATAAAATACAGTATACTGTAGAACGTGAACATCCCTCCATTATCAGCAGAAATGCTCCAGGCACACAGCTCTCTTCTCTTACGTGTTTGAATCTCCCCCAGTTGGAAGGTAACAGGCTAACAGAGAATGGAGTTCTGTGTGTACTGTCAAGGGTATCCTCAGTAAAATTGTTATGCTTAGCTATTACATTATATCGAGATTCAGAGTTAAGTAATTTAGCCAAAATTGATCACTTTTAGCATCTTGGAGTCAAAATAAATCATTGAGATCTGTCGTGCTTAGTTCATGATTAATCAATATACCCAGACCATTTTTGGATGAATTAGTCACAGCTGTGGTCTAAAGCAGTATCCTAAATGTGCTCCTACCTTTACTTCTGTATATATTTAAAAAGGCAAAAAGAAATTTATGAGCAGATGCTGTTGATGAAGCTCTGTTCCATTTGCATGGTTCCATTTGCATTTTATGTTGAAACAGTGTTAGAAAGCTAGATTAAAGAGATAAAGATTTTGGGCATAAGATTATGAGCCTTTTTTTGCAGGAATTTTTCTTACTTTAAAAATGATAAAACGGAGGCCCAGAAAGGTGAAGTGCTTTGATTAAGATGATTCAAACAGTTAATGATAGCATTTAGAGTAAAATTTGAGTACCCTGAACGTTGTTGAATCCTGGAACTGCAAAAGAATTTTGAGGCTGTTCAGAATTAATCTCTATGGGGACAAGCTGTCCCAAAATGGGCCTGTTTTGACAAGGCTCCTCAGTTTATACCCTTTTTTACTGATGCTTTGGAATTTGGTGGCCCCTGACCTAAGTACAGATAAAGGCAGCTTGAAGTTGTTAGTCTTATAAATATAATGCTGAAGGCTTCCTTTAAATCTTTGAAATTTAATTGTCCAACAATTTGCAGACATATCAGACGTTTACCTAATGGTTAGGGTGCTAGTGAAATAATCTGTTTTTAGCCTTTAATAAGTACAGTTTCATCATGAGAAATGAGCTAAGCCGAACATGGTAAAGCTGTTGTCATTCAACTGTGGAATTCTTCCAGGGAAGTATCTTATAGTAAATATAATTGATTATCCAGAGTAGTTTTATTCTTGAAACACCTACTAAAAATTTATCTTCTTGCCAGTATTTCCTTTTAGGTTGAATGTATAGATTTGTATTTTTGTAACTGTGAACCATTATTACAGGAGATACATATATTTTGTCAATTTTTCAGCTTATATAGCATTAATTTTATTAAAACTGTCTTTAATGTGACTTTGCCTGTATCCTTAATTTCAGTTGTAGGGAAGCATTAAGAAGAAAGTTGTGTTCTGGTGACATTTTTATGGGAG